GGAAAGGCAAGATACGCCTTCATCGACCTGAAATCAGTTTGGAAATCTTTAGCTGTCACTCAGCCAGTATAAGGAACAAGATTCGCATTTTCAACACTTATGTGAAGTCGGTTCTTCTATACGGATCAGAAAATTGGCCGGCGTGTCACCAAAAGGATTTCCAACAGCCAGTTGCAGATTTTTACCAACAACTGCCCCACTCCACTGGCTCCATACTGAAGATCAAATGGCCGGTTGAAAGAATAAGCAACAAGAAACTATGGGAACAAACCAACAGGCAAGAGCCAATCTCTCAACAAATATGCAGGAGAAAGTGGAGATGAATCGGGCATACATTGAGGAGGCCACCGAATCACATCGCACGTCAGGCCATCGAGTGGAATTCAAATGCGAAGCGATGAGTGGGTCGTCAATGCAAGGGTGACATGGAGGAGATCGTGTGACGAAGAGATGAGAGGATTTGGTTAATCGTGGAGCCAGCTGAAGAGGACGGCAGAAAACAGAACAAAGTGGAGATGTATTGTTGAAGACCTATGTTCCCCTCGGAACGCAAGGGAATGATAATAATAATAAATTAACTGGTTGCTTGGTTATACAATTAAAGTCCGTTGCTACAAATTATTAATATTATTCGCAGTAATGTTCACTGCTGGAATCGTGTCTACTAGTAGAAGCTGTGCACTGATTCGTATGAGGATAAAAGGTTCCTGCAAAATCCAAAGTATACAACACGGTTAGTAGTGAAACAAGTAGACAGTATCGACTAGTGAGAAGACGAAGCGTCGAGCACCACACTGTACTTTGGATTGTACTCCACGATTATGTATATTTCAATATGAATCGTTTTAAACAAAAGTTGTGTACAATATCTCTATTTTTAACATCTAACAAAAAATATGTACAATCGTATTGTTACAGACTACATACCTGCTACTTCTCAGTCAGACTGTTCCAAAATGAATAACTTTTTATCAGAAATTAGTCAGTGGTCCTCGTCAAATCATCTTAAGCTTAATTCCTCTAAATACCAGTCAGGTGGTCAATTTCACTTTCAAATGCAGGTGCGACTCACATGAACCGGTTAGTTTGCATGGTTCAACTATCGTGGACAGCAATGAAGCTGAAACTAAGGGGAGTGCCAAATATCTTGGACTGTGTATTTCCTGTGATCACCTTTCCTGGTCTTCTCACATCATATTAGTTTCGAGGATGGTACTTCGTTTGGATTCCTATGTAAGGAAGTTAAGACGATCTGGTATCATTCCGCCTGTACTGTTACAGTTTGTTAATTCTTGTATTCTCCCTATACTTCTTAACTGTTCTCCCTTAATCTTTCCGGAGCTACTTAAGAAAGACTTTGCTATACTGTATAGGGCACTAAAAGCTGTCAATGAGTCGAGTGGGGAGTTGCTAAACCAACTCGTTAATACCATTGCAAGAAATTAGCAAATTTTATCCTGTCAGACTCTGAACATTCTCCCCTCTGGCGTAGATGTGATATCCAGCTATCGACCTATGGTCAAAAGCCTACAATTCTCGTTGTTTCTGATAATGTATTGTATATTGTAGCTACTAGTTCAGACATTGTCCTTACCTTGACCATCTAGGTTCGAATGATCCTCAATTTGTTGTGGAAGTTTCCTCAATTTTAGTTGATATTCTATTTTTATTATAATTCATGCATCTTTACCATCCCGAGGACCACAACCACACAGCAGTCTACACCTTCCTACGTCTCCAATTGGCTTAAACTAACTGTTGTGAATTTCATCGACTGATGAGACTATTGTTTTAGTTTGACTACCACTGGCTCTTTTCCAACCTGATCCATCCTATGTCAGCTAACATTGCCCGTCGAGGAAGGCGATCAATGTCTAGGCATGCGTAACACATGTCCTAACCATCTCAGTCGATGTAGTATCACAGCCTCGTCTATTGATTTCCTCTCATTACTTAGCACTCAACCGATGCCTAACCTCAATGTTGCTCACCCTGTTACACCACCACTTCACACGGGAGATAGAACGCAGGCACCTGTGATCAAAGACAGCTAGCCGGTCTTTTCATGTCTTCCACTCTCAATGGCCAGGTCTCATAAACATAGAGGAAGACGGAGCAGACTGCTGAGCAGTACACACATCCTTTGGTCGATAGACAGCCGGATATCACGTCTACTCCAGAGACGACGTAAACTGCCATATACGGAACTAGCCCTCTGTATTCGTGCTGAGATTTCGTCAGCTATCAATCCGTTGGCACTGGCTGATGCAACTTCCCAAATAAGTGAGGTGGTCAACACGCTCTACCACTTACACTGGACTGTATAACTGTCTGTTGATGTAATTTTGAGTTTTTGATGTTATTATTGTTGTTGTTATTGGATAGAACAGCAAATTTACTGAAGATTAATCGCCTTTTCTTGTCTTTAAAACCTTTCGTGACTGTATGTTTCTGAAGGAAGTTCTAGACAGCTTTATATAGTAGAACATAGACGTCGGTTTTGGTCGCTAAAACTGCAGTACAGACACACACACACACTTTAAACTGAATTATACAATGAAACAAGTATATACACAAATATCAGTCATTCATTCATTCACTAACCTCTACCTCAATTTTATCGATTTTGAAAAGGCCTTCGACAGACAGTGTTAACCAAGAAGTAATTTGAAAATACTTCAACACTATGGTGTGCAATGCCCTAAATCTTTATCAACCTCATTCAACAGCTGGCTGGCTGTATGACAATGCCACGTGTCAGGTAATCCACAAACGAAAAATCAGCTAAGCTTCTGAAGTGAATACAGGCGTAAGACAAGTCTGCCCACTTCCTAATTGTGGTGGACTGGATTATGCAGAAGAGCGTGCATGGGAGTGAGGAGTCAGGAATACGCTGGACGACCGAAAAGAAGACTCTAGAAGATCTGTATTTCGCTTTTGGATGATACATATGTCTAATGCTACACAAACTCGAAGACTTGCAGGCAGGCAGCGAAGACAGGACTGCAGGTGAACAAACATAAGACGGACAGAGTTGATGAAGATAACTAACGAACCGCAACAACAACCAGCACCAACCACCATCGACAAGAGATATTTGACAGAGATTACTTCAATCAACCTATCTAGGAAACATAGTTTCAAAGACAGACAGTCGAAACGGATGAAGATATCAAAGTCAACCAGGATCGGAAAGGCAAGATACGCCTTCATCAACCTGAAATCTTCAGCATAAAGAACAAGGAGGTTCGGATTTTCAGTACCAATGTTTTATTGAGTCAGTTCTACTATGTAGGTGAGAAATGTGGCGAACGCGTGACGAAAAGCATTTCCAACAGCCAGCTGCGACCTTTTATCAACAACTACTCCCTTAGCTGGCTGCATATTGGAGAGCATATGGCTAGAAACAGTAGGAACAAACTAACCAAGAGCCTATCGCTCAACAAGCATATAGGAGAAAATGGGGATGAGGCTTGGGCACAAGCCATTGAGGAGACCGTCGAATCGGAATTAACTAGACAAATTGCTCCACTAAATAAGAACGGTCATGCACCACCATTCCCCGATTAAAGAAACAGCTTTCAATCTGTCAACGCTCACACTGTCCAGGCCGGGTGAGTTTTCCCGTGTTGAGTCAAATTAAACCGCAGGTTCCACTCCTGGTGATGCTCTTCCATCATCGATTGAGATGGTTACGATTTTTGTTACGTATGCCCAGTCATCGCTTTCCTCGACGGGCAGTGTTATCCACTGACATTAAATGGATCAGGTTGGAAGACAGCTAACAGCGGTCGAACCAAAACATGGCACCAGTCGATGAAATCCACAACAGTTAGTTTAAGCTAGCCAGTCACGTAGGAAGGTGTAGACTAGCTTCCTGGTCGGGGTCCTCGGACGGTAAACACCAGGAGAAGCTGGAGATAACGGGAGGGATTTGAAAGAGGTTACTTCATTCACTTATCTAGGGAGCATTGTCTCAACTACAGGAGGAATGGACGAGGATGTCAAATCGAGAATTGGGAAGGCGAGAAACACATTCATCATCCTGAAACCAATCTGGAAATAATCGTCACTCAACATCAACAACAAAATTCGGATTTCCAATACAACCGTCAAGTCAGTCAGTTCTTCTATACGTACGGATCAGAAACTTGGTGGGTCACGAAGAATATTTCCAGCAGCCTGTTGCAGACCTTTATCAACAGCTGTCTTCGTTCTATACTGAAGATCAGATGGCCGGAAAGAATCACCATTAAGAAACTGTGGGAACAAACAAAACAAGAACCAATCACCCAACAAATATGCAGGAGAAAGTGGAGATGGATTGGACACACTCGCTAAGGAGGCCGCTGGGTGACATCGTGCGTCAGGCCAGTGCTCGAGTGGGACCCGAAGGGGAAGTGGAGAGTGGGACGTCCAAGGATGACATGGAGGCAATCGTGTGAAGAGGAGCTGAGACAGTATGGACTAACATGGATGCAGGTGAAAAGTACAGCAGAAGATAGAAGCAAGTGGAGACGTGCAGTTGAAATCCTATGTTCCACTAGGAACCCAAGGGAACAATAATTGTAATAATTCCTTTTGCCTCATATCTCTGTTTACTATCTCTATTTTGAACTGCTTCACATTGGTGCAAAGTTCTATGTTGAAACCAGACAGACAAGACAGACAGAGGCCATCGAATGACATCGTGCAGCAAGGCATAACTTCGACTTGAACCTGAATGCAAAGCGACGGTGACATGGAGGAGATCGTACGAGGAGCAGGAGGAGGAGGAGATGAGAGATTATGGGTAGTCATTGGCCCAAGTGAAGAGATTAGTAGGGAAGAGAACAAAGTGGATAGGTGTTGTTGAAGCCGTATGTTCCACTCGCGGAACACAAGGGGAAAATAATAATAACAATAAACATTCAATCACTTCCTTTCATTTATGAAATAAATATATATATATATATATATATATATATGAATATAAATAAATAAAATAAGATCAAATAAATTACAATACAAAAAATTCTGCTTAAATGATTCAACATATATGTATATCATATAAGTAAGTCAGTAAATAAGTAGAAAGGGTATACGAATAGTAATCATAAAGTACTACTACACAATGTGATTAGTTTCTTTCACAGTCAAGTTGATCGATTGATTGACTACTTCCTTTCCACACATGTCCAACGCCATCTCGACCATGATGGTAGTAGTAATTACTGGTGAAGATGAAAATAATCATAAATAGTGGGTATACTACTGATAATGACATTGGCAGTAGTTATACACACAAAGCGCATGTAAAAAATAAATGGATCAGAGTTGTGTTTTTTTCAATTATAATCATTGGGATTGCCAGGAGCAACAAAAAGGAATATTAGGGCGATGGGGGGGGGGGGTAACATACACTGTGTTTCATTCATATACATCAAAACGAAGAAGAGCAGGAAGAAGAAGTAGAAGCGTCGATCGTATGTATTCAAGAAAGAAGAGGTTAGAACATCTTGTCAGTTGGGAGCTGACCAGCGCTCACTGACATGGGTTACTGGACGGCAGGTATTAGGAGGGAGGAACAGATGGATGGACGGTAGATACAAAATATGAGAAGAACAATTAAACTGGAAAAGCGTTTGAATAACCTAAACAGATTTCGTGAGGAAATCAGCGAACAAACAAACGTGAGTTATGAATGCAGCTCACTTATTTATTTACGCATTGTCCATCTGAGAAAATCACTTTTCCTTGGAGACTGATTATGAGCATTGTTGTTAGTATTATTATTATTCGAAGGTGAGGAATGATTCTTCTCCACTACAGATCGTTGAAACCAATTCGATGAAGAGTCGTGTTTATTGAAACTGCGTCTATGCATTTGTTTATCTAGAAATGCGAAAACATATAGGCGCGTGTAAATAAAGTAATTTAAAAAACATTTTAGTAAGTACAACAACAACTACACAAAGACACACACACACATGCAAACATGCACACGAAACGAAGAAGGTAGGTAGTTGAATGCCTCACGGATACGAGATATGGGAAAACACGAAAAACATGCACAAAAACACGAACGGACAGTGAAACTGTCCGTTGTAAAACAAAAAAACGTTTGACATGATAATTTACTTAAAGGAACAAAGTCAACATTATCTTATGACGTAATATCTGCATCAAAATAAGTCTCAAAGAAAATAACTTCCAGGATTAGTGGTTTGTATTCACTTTGAACACTATCTATCCTGGAGAGAGAGAGAGAGAGAGTAAAAGATGCACCGGATACAGAACTCCGCCAGCCCCACCAGAACAAGCTAGCTGGATTCAGGAAAGGCAAATCATGTGCGCTGATTAAATTGCAACTCTACGCATCATCGTCACAGAACAAAGCAAAGAATGGCAGTCAAACTTCCACCTCAACTTCATTGACTTCGAAAAGGCCTTCACCAGACAGCGTTGACCGAGAAGTAATTTGGAAACTACTTCAACACTACGCGTACCTCAAGTCTTTATCAACCCTAATCAACACCTGGCTATATGACAGTGCCAAGTGTCAGGTGATCCACAACGGAAAACTCAGCGAGGTGTTCGAAGTGCATACAGGAGTAAGACAAGGTTGACTGCCGATTATCACCGATGATATTCTTAATTGTGGTGGACTAGGAATACGTTGGACCACCGATAAGAAGACTCTATAAGATCTGGATTTCACGCGTGGATGATATATGTCTAATGTCACACAAACTTGAAGAATTGCAAGCGAAAACTAACAAACTGGCTGAAGAGGCTAGCGGCGAAAACAGGACTCCAGGTGAACATAGAGATGACAGAGGAGATGAAAATAACCAATCAACAGCAACAACGACAATAACCAGTACCAATCACCATCAGCGGGAGAGATTTAACAGAGGTTGCCTTTGTCTTCATTTATCTGGGAGGCATCGTTGCAACTACAGGCGGGACGGACGAAGATGTCAAAGCCTGTCAGAATCGGAAAGGTAAGAAACAAATTCATCAACCTGAAACCAGTTTGGAAATCTCCCACTGTCACTCAGTATAAGAAACAAGAGTCGGTTCTTCTATACTGGTCAGAAACTTGCACTGAGCGTCACGAATAGGATTTCTAACACGTTCCTGCAGACTTTTATCAACAGCTGCCTTCGCTGGCTCCACACGGAAGATCAAATGGCCAAATCCAAGTAAGTACTTAAGCGAAGTGATACTAATGATAATATAATACATATACTACTCGTAAGTAACGTTTCTTGATACGAACAAAAAATGAAAACCAACGACTTAGAATTCAGAGTTTGACCATAGATTGATATCAGTTAGAGAACCACTGAAAACCAACAAGAAGTATTGGACAGTTGTTTCGTCCTAGCCTGGGGCTCATCAACAATACCCAACCACCGCCAGGGTTCGAACCCCCGCCCCTACCTTCTGATTACGAGTAAAGCTACCTACCTCGTAGATCATTCAGACACTGCGACTCTACTCAATAAATAAGAAACCCATAAATTCTAGTTTCCAACAACTGATGATTTTAGCGTGACTGGTGGCACCAACCAATGTCATTTGTGGTGAGTACTTGTCTTCACTGCCAGCTGGTCACGACTTCTCACCAGAACTCCATGAAACTCCATCCTGCAGTCAGCCAGTCTACTAGCGAACACCAGATTGATTTCCAGGAGTAAGACAAGCTGGCTGCCTACTATCGCCAGTGATTTTCCTGATTGCAGCAGGCTGGATAATGAGACAAACAGCGGGCAATAAAGAAACAGTCATAAAATGGACTCACACAAAAAACTTGGGGGATCTGGACTTCGCCGATGATATATTTCTGATTTCCCACAAACTGGAAGATATGCAAGCGAAAAGCAACAAGTTGGCAGAAGAAGCATCCAGAGAAGTTAGGACTTCAGGTGAACATAGATAAAACAGAGGTGATGAAGATTCCTGGGCAACACCACCAACAGACAACAATCAGCATAAGTGGGAGGAACCTGAAAGAAACAACCTCCTTTACCTAATTGGGAAGCATTGTTTCAACTACAGGCGGAACTGATGAGGATATCAAAGCAAGAATCGGAAAAGCAAGACAAGCTTTCACTACTCTCAAGTCTGTGTGGAGGTCAACAACACTCAGCATCAAAAATAAGATCCGGATTTTCAACTCCAATGTGAAGTCAGTCAGTGCTACTATACGGATCAGAGACTTGCACTGCGCGTCATAAAGAGCATCTCAAACAAACTACAGACCTTCATTAACAGATGTCTTCGCTCAATACTCAAGATCAGATGGCCGGCCAGAAAAGATCAGCAATATGGATCTCTGGTAATGGGTGAACCAACCAGGAACCGATTGTGAAACAAATAAGCAGGAAGAAATGGAGGTGGATTGGCCATACTCTGAGGAAACCATCAAGCGACATCACTAGACAAGCCCTTGAGTGGAACCCACACAGGAAGCGGCGAGTTGGTCGTCATTGCAAGGGTGATATGGAGGCGATGAAGACGTGTGGGCAGACTTGGAGCCAGGTGAAGACTCTAGCAGAGAACCGAACGAAATGGAGACGCACGGCCGAAGCCCTATGTTCCTCTACGAATTAAAGGAAGCAATAATAATAATACCGCCAGGGTTCGAACCCAGGAACTTAGGCTTCAATGTAGCATTCATATAAGAGTAAAATAACTAAGTAACAACATAAGGGTATCAATACACGCATAGTTTTGACAATGTTATGCGCTAACTACTGAATGAACATACATATTCTCACAGTAATGCGAAAGAAACAAGGATGCACTATATATGCATTTACCTACCGACCATACAGGTACATACATCAAGAAAACAATGGAAGAGCATTCCAAATTATACAATATATTATTACATACACGAATACATAGACAAACACACAGACAGACACGAAGAAGTATTGACTATACATAAGCACGCACTAACACTCTCTCACACACATGCACATTTTACCTGTGATACTCTGACTTTATGATGGTTCTAGAATCAATAAAATATTTCAGTATTAAAAAAACAACAACCATAAACCAAACTCTTTATAGGAAAACACAACAAAAACAAAACTGTACGCTGTAATTTAAAGATATGCCGAATTATATAATTTGTTAGGGTACAAACAGTAGACACATAAAAGATAAAGTTCAACCTATATACTGATTTTTAGTATTAATATTATTATTGTTCCCTTTGGTTCCTCCTAGTGGAACATAGGGCTTCAACTACACGTCTCCACTTGCTGCTTCTGTCTTCCGCTGTACTTTTCACACCTGCGTCCATGTTAATCCATACTCTCTCAGCTCCTCTTCACAAGATCCCTTGACATGTGCCGTTATCGTACAGCTGTTGAATAAGGTTGGTGAATATTTGGGGTACGCCGTAGTACTTGAGTAGTTTCCAAATTACTTCGCGGTCAACGCTGCGCTGTTGAAGGCCTTCTCAAAGTCTGTAAAGTTGAGGTAGAGGTTTGATTGTCATTCCATGCTTTGTTCTGTGATGATGATGTGTAGAGTTGCAATTTGGTCAGAACATGATTTGCCTTTCCTGAATCCAGCTTGTTCCGGTGGGCGGAGTTCTGTATTCAGTGCGTCCTTTATTCTCTCCAGGATGATGTGACTCAGGATTTTACTTGGCGTCGACAGGAGCATAATTCCTCGCCAGTTCTTGCAGAGTCCTAAGTCTCCCTTCTTTGGTAGTTTCACGAGGTAGCCTTTCCTCCAGTCAGTAGGTACCTTTCCCTCTTTCCAGAACTTTTGCGATAATGGAGTCAGCATATCTGCTGTCGTCTCTGGGTCCGCTTACAGTGCTTCCGGGGGTATTCCATCTGGTCCAGCTGCTTTTCCGGCTTTCAGAAGCTTGTTTGCATTCAAGACTTCAGCTTTCGTTGGAGGATCGGTGTTAACTTGCAGTTGTGTACGTGCTGTTGTTGGTATTTCTGGACGGGTTGCAGGTGGTGGTCGGTTCAAGAGTCCTTTGAAGTGATCCGCCCATTGTTTAATCTGTCTTTCTTCCTTGGTAATTGGGTTCCCTTGGCTGTCTTTTATAGGTTTCACTTGTGCTGATCTCTTCCCGGATAGAGACTTGGTTATCTGATATAGTGTCCTCAGGTCCCTTTTGCCTGCTGCCTTCTCAGCTTCAGTAGCCAGGTTGTCGTAGAATTGTCTTTTGTCCTTCCTGGCACTCTTCTTCACTTCTTTGTCCAGTGCTGTGTAAGCTGAACTCAGAGTCTCCTTCTCTGGTCCGTCATTGCATTGAATCATTTTCTCTTTCACCATTCTTCTCTACTCTGTTAGCTTCCAAGTGTCCGTTGAGAGCCATTCCTTGTCTTGTCTCTTCTTTCTTCCTAAAACCGTTGAACACGTTTCGTTGAAAATCACCTTCAGAGAGTTCCAATGGTCTTCCACGCATGATTCCTCAGTGATGCCACGTAGTGTTTCTTGCTTTGCTCTGACAGTTGCAGTGAAAGTGTCCTTTGTGGTTGTGTCCTTCAGTGTGTTGAGTGTTGAACTTGCATTGTGGCCTATCCCCAGCTATCCTCGAGGCTTTTAGCTTCACCTTGAAAGTCCCTTGTACTAGATAGTGGTCTGAACCCACATCTGCTCCTCTCTTCGATCTTGTGTTCAGTAGGCTCCGTCTCCACTTCCTTGAGATTGAAATGAAGTCTATCTGGTTTTTGGTGTGTCCATCTGGTGAAATCCATGTCGCCTTGTGTATATCCCTGTGTTTGAACACACTGCCACCAATCACCAAATCATTGAAGGCGCGATTTTTAGCAATAATTATTAAAATATCCAGCTATCAGATCATAGTGTTTTACAGTCCACAGTAGGGAATCCTACACTTTCAGGGTTTTTGCACATTGTGCTCGAACCTCTTCTACTGTTGTCTTATCTATTGAACCTAGTGCTACTTCTATGTTAGGAATGACATCCTCTGGCTTTAATTTACTAACTGTTACACAGTGAAATTTAGTCCTTTCTCAAGTACTTTTATCTCACTAGAGCTTAGTTCCCTTGATGACAACAGGTTGATCACCCATTTTGTTCTGTCAGTCAACAGAGGATGAAACGTTGGCATCAATTTCTTCATTTATTGTGTTCTTTTCTTCTATTAGTTTGTTGAATTTTTTGATTTGTGTGGTTTTTGATTTTTTTTTAATGCTGATTCTCTAGCTTTTTCAGATGTTTCAACAACAATTACATAATCTTTGCCATTGACCATACATTTGATTGAGTTTGTGTTTCAGTTTTTCGATTTCATTTCGTATTATTATTTAGTTTCATAGTATTTCGACGTAGTTCTTCTCTTAGACATAATCTACTGACATGTTCAGCTGCTGATGTTATTTTTCTTGAAGTAATTGGAGTACATATAGGCGTGAATATTTTGAAATTATATGATTTTTTAAACATCGACTGTTAGAAATCAGATGGTTTGTGAATCTTGCTTCTGTTTCATAAAGTCGTGTGAGTTTATTGATAAGCTTCGTAGTAGGAAGACCATACGTGTTATTGATATAAGTGCCCAAGTTTTATACTTATATCAATGAGGGAGAAAGAATAGTAACATGGAAAGACGTCAGATCACAGAGAGTGAATGCATCTGCACCATTCAGAACGATTTCGAGCTACATAATCAATTTTCTCCAGCCATTGGTGCTTAGAATCCCCAGGATCCTAATTAGGATGTTTATACCTCCCTCTATGTAGCCAGCTCAAACTAACTGTGGTGGATTTCATTGACTGATCAAGCCGTCGTTTCGTTTGACTGCCACTAGCTCTTTTCCCACCTGATGATCTGTCCTATGTCAGCAGCTTATATTGCCGATGGAAGAAGGCGATGACTAGGCTAGCATGCGTTACACAGGTCATAACTATCTCAACTGGTATAGCTTCACACCCTCATTACCTAGCACTCGGCCAATATCTCACCTAAATGTTGCTCACCCTTATTATACCACCACTTAACACGGGAGATAGAAAGCAGGCACCTATGATCAAAGATACCACGTGTAGGCTAGAGAAGGCGAGAGTTGACAAGAACCAACCGGAAGCTAAAATTTTTATGTTCAATTAATCTAATTGACCGCGATCTACTATTTTGGTTTATGCAACTGACCTCACTCACAGTAATTACATAGTATAGGGTATATTATATCATCTTCCTTGAATGGATCTATTGGGTCGGTCTTTGAGACGATAGAGATTATCTCTGAAAGGGCTGGTTAGTTGGCTAAAATTCCACCCCGACTAATCCCAGCCCTCTTTGAGAATACGACGTCAGGCCTCAGACGTTCCTTCCTTATATAACAGCATTACAGAGGCTTTGAATTCTATGACATTCTTGTTATTTCTGTCACTTTTATTACTAACTTTACTTTGTCTATGAGTCTTGATACATTCCTGAATAAATTCTGGTGCTAGTTGTTGGTTGATTTCATTATTTAAATCTGGCTTGCTAGTTAGACTTTTGGTTCAGTTATATAGACGTATAACTAAACCAATCTTTAGCGATACTGGTCAAGAAAAATTGAAGTCTGAGGTCTTATTAGAGTGTGTCAGTTTCCTGTAAATGCTAATATCTAACCCACCACCCTCTTGTTTTCGTTTTATTCCACAGTCTGGCATGACCAACTCACTCTCGATGAAATCAAAACTAAGCACTAGGACGTGGGATTTACGAAGCTTGGAAGGCTTCTCAGGTAGCCAAAAAAAATGCGAAGACATGGCTTAGGAGTGCTAGAAATCTGTGACAGCAGGTAGAATAGATATGAACTACCGAAATTGTCAATAATCTACTCCAGTCACCCAGACAACAATAACCACGAGCAAATAATTTTGGAGGATCTTTAGGGTCATACAAGCAATCGGGAGAAAGTGGAGATGGATTGGACACTCGCTAAGGAGGCCGTTGGGTGACATCGCGCGTCAGGCCAGTGCTCGAGTGGAACCCGAAAGTGAAGCAGCGAGTGGGACGTCCAAGGGTGACATGGAGGAGATCGTGTGAAGAAGAGTTGAAACAGTATGGACTAACATAGATGCAGGTGAAAAGTACAGCAGAAGACAGAAGCAGCAAGTGGAGACGTGCATTTGAAGCCCTATGTTCTACTAGGAACCCAAGGGAACAATAATAATAATAGTTTATCGTTCGAATTTCCGCGGATGTTTAAAAGATATTTTTATACTCTATATTGCGGTTGTCTTTGTTGTCGCAGTTAAATCTGACTTCCGTGTCTTTTTCAGTGCAGGAGAGTATTTTCAAGTGATCAGCTGGTTACAGTGTCGTATGTCTGGAGATGCACTCTAGTCAAGTTAGACAACAATCACAAAACAGTAACACTTTGACATAACAATCACCAACACACATTTTAATATTCAATCTTAATTTCACTAGTAAAACCCTCAATATCTATCTTCACCGGTACTGGTGTGTCTGTATTATGGCCTGAATACATACATCATATAACCAGGAGGAAAACAAAACATTTTTTCACAACATCATCATCGTCGTCAATTACCTGTTACTATCCGACTGTCAGTAACACACGCTAAACCGTTGGATAGTTGATGTTGATGTTGTGCTAGCGGCTTCACACGGGTAGAACGTCGTCGAACAATTAATCGCATTGTATTACCACCTCGTTGAATGATTTCAATAGCTTGTCCGTGTGACATACCAATAGTTGAATAACCATTGATTTCAACTAACTCATCACCAACCTGAACAAATGTGTAGTAAAACAAACAGATACACCAAATAATAATAATAATGATAATAATCTAGAATCACAGGTTACGAGACCAAATTCGTTGAAATTCTCATGTGAGTTAGTTTGTAAGGATTTGATATATGTCAAGTCTGACCACAGACTGTCTTTGTCTCTGTCTGGATTCAACATAGAACTTGGCACCGATGTGCAGAAGTTCGAGTTGCCACGTTCCAAATAGCACACAAACGTAGACAAGAAGATGAGTGATGAAGAGAATCAATAGAGTTTTGACAAGTATAAGAGTGAAACAGAATGAGTAATGGTAGAAAGAAATATGACAAATTACACAAGAGACTGAATACATCTGCGTAAGCCACTGACAACGATTTTGAGCCATGTCACCACCTATTGTCTCCAGCCATTGATTCTTAGAGTCCCGATGGCTGGCTCCAACCCGGAAGTCTGCATCTCCCCACCTGACTGACTCAGTTTAGCTGTCAAGGATTTCATGGATTGATGAGGCCATGTTTTTGTTTGGCCACCACTTACTCCTTTCCAACCTGCACCTATATCAGCTAGTAATGCCCGTCCGTCGGGGGAGGCGATGGTTAGGCATGTGCAGCACGTGACCTAACCATCTCAATCTATGTAACTTTATAGCCTCGTCGATTGATTTTCCCTCTTTGCCCGACACTCTACGCCTAACGTCAACATTACTTACCTTATTATGCCACCTAACGTGAGAGAGAGATCGTAGACATCTATGATCAAAAACAGCCAACGTTTCCATGTCTTCAACTCGAATTGGCCATGTTTCAGAGCCATAGAGAAGGACGGAGCGAACTGCTGAGCAGTACACACGTCCCTTGGTTGATAGCCGGATGTCACGCCTTCGCCAGAGATGGCGTAAGTTGGCAAAAGCAGCTAGAGCTTTTTGGACCCCTGCTGAGATTTCGTCGCCAATCAGTCCGTTGGTGCTGATACAACTTCCCAAATAGGTGAAGTGGTCAACATGTTCTATCACTTCACTCCCTATCACTAAGCTAGCAGTTGACGTAGTTCAGTCCTGTAGCAGCATCTTATATTTTACAGGGGTGAACCACGGACTGATTTTCGGTCATAACACGGGACCCATAGGGCAGGGTTCAAACTCCCCCCTCCCACCACCACCTTCCGGTTACAGGCCAAGCTAGCACGTAGACATTCATACCACTGCAACACAACTCAATGGCAAGCCCACCAACTCTAACTTCTACCGATTCGTGATTTTTGAGCAACTGGGGCACTGGGGCCATCCAAATGTCATCATCACTGGATAGAGGTGAGTATTTATCCTCCCTTCTGACCTGTTGGTGAACTTAAAAATCAATGAGATGATCACCTGAATATTTATTTGTAAAGTTATATATATATATATATATATATATATATATATATATATATATATATATATTAGAGTTAAGCCTGATGAGATCTAATTGAAAACAATATTGTTCGCTTAAATGTATTGTTCTTTTTTATTATATAAGCTTACTATTACTATTATTATTTTATTGTCATTATTATTTCCATCATCCATATTTTATTATCACTTGATTACTGTTTATTAATAACATTGCGTTTTCATACAGATTTTATGTTAAAAACACTTTATCGCCTTTGCACTAGTTCCTGTCCACTCTACACAGTCACACTGATTAGTCGTTATCTCACACTTATTACGTCATGCCAACTTCTACCCCCTTCCTTTCTAACTTTCAATAAGTCACCCTATCTAGATTACACCTTACATTACGTGATGCATTTTTCGAGGACATCGTTTTCCAGTATCTGATTGGTCTAGTGATTTCTTTGTTAAATATAATTGCGATTATTGTACAGCAGCTTATGAAAATGAATCATCAAATAGGAAATTTTCTTCTTTACTGTTTATTATTATTATTTCGTTGAATTCCTAGAGGAACATAGGGCTTCAGCCGTGCGTCTCCATTGAGTTCGGTTCTCCGCTAGAGTCTTCACCTGGCTCCAAGTCTGACCACACGTTTTCATCTCCTCTTCACATGATCTCCTCCAAGTCACCCTTGCACTGACGACCAACTCGCCGCCGCTTCCCTTTCGGGTTCCACTCGAGCAATGGCTTGTCTAGTGATGTCACTTGATGCATTGTTTCCTCAGAGTATGGCCAGCGAATCCATCTCCATTTCTTCCTCCACATTTGTTTCACAATCGGTTCCTGGTTGGTTCAGTCATTGACAGAGATATCTGTTGCTGATCTTTTCTGGCCGGCCATCTGATCTCGAGTATTGAGCGAAGACAACTGTTAATGAAGGTCTGTAGTTTGTTTGAGATGCTCTTTATGACGCGCAGTGCAAGTCTCTGATCCGTATAGTAGCACTGACTTCACATTGGAGTTGAAAATCCGGATCTTATTTTTGATGGTGAGTGCTGTTTACCGCCACACAGACTTTGAGAGTAATGAAAGCTTGTCTTGCTTTTCCGATTCTTGCTTTGATATCCTCGTCAGTTCCGTCCGTCTGTAGTTGAAACGATGCTTCCCAGGTAGGTAGGTGAAAGAGGTTGTTTCTTTCAGGTTCCTCCCATTTATGCTGATTGCTGTTTGTTGTTGGCTAGGAATCTTCATCACCTCTTTTTTCTCTATGTTCACCTGAAGTCCTATCTTCTCTGGATGCTTCTTCTGCCAACTTGTTGCTTTTCGCTTGCATATCTACCAGTTTGTGGGAAATCAGACATATATCATCATCGGCGAAGTCCAGATCCTCCAAGTCTCTTTTTGTGTGAGTCTATTTTATGCCTGTTTCCTCATTCCCCGCTGTTTGTCGCATTATCCAATCTACTGCAATCAGGAAAATCATTGGAGATAGTAGGCAGCTAGCCAGCCAGTCTTGTCTCAATCCCGTCTTCACTTCGAAGGATTCCGCAAGTTTCCCGTTGTGCATTACTTGACGTAACAGCATTATCGTACAACTGTTGGATGAGATGTATAATTGTCGGTGGCGAAGTAGTTGCCAAATCACCTCTCTTTACTGTTTACGTCTTTTTATTATTTTTTTAAAAAGTTTTTGTTTTTGCTCTTGTCGAGTAAATTAGATGGAATATGCTGTACCAGATGCTGAGAATTCCACACTCAATCATAAGTACAGTTTTCCAATAAAGCAAATGATATAATAATAATAATTATTGTTAATAACAGCAAAGTTTACACAGAAAAGAATATTCTTTTCAAATTTTAAATTATTTAAAAACATACTTTTAAATGACCATCCATTTGAGCAGCACCACCATCTGCAATACGCAATACTACTAACGGCATCCGATTAAATTCTTGTCCACCACGAATAGAAAAACCAAAACCTCGACTACCACGAAACAATGTCACCGGGAATTCAACTGAATCTCTAATCGGCAAAGGATGTTTACGTCCACGTGAAGCTGAGCCTAAAAGGATTTTCAAAAAAAAAAAAAAAACACGTTAATGAGAAAACAATTATCATGAATGACAAAAAAGTCCATCAAGTGTCACCTTATTTGCAGCATGTTTTAAGTGTTAGGCGTCGATGGCACATCGGTAGAATGCTCGCTAACCATGCAAGGGTGGTTTGGGATTCGATCCCCGGCCACAGAGGCACTCCTTTACCTCGCTAAGCTAGTAATAATACTGGTAAAGAAAGAAGGTTGGGCGTATGGCTAGCAATCCATCCCGTATAAATAAACACCACTGCTACCGAAAATTCAGAGCTCTAGCTTGAAGCAGCTCTATGTTCCACTAGGAACGTAAATGAATAAAAATAAATAAATAAACTAAGTTTTACAAGTATTGGTTTTGTAGGGATTTTGTTTAATTGCATGGAGGATTTCATCATAAGATGACATCAGTTAGAGAACCACTGGAAAACCTGGGAGTACTGGACAGCTGTTTCGTCAACCTAGTTTGGGACTCTTCATCAGTACGCACCCACCGGGGTTCGAACCTAAGACCTTCTGGTTACAAGGTGAGCTCGTAGACCATTGAACCACCGGGACCCGATCCAATGGTCCTTGAATTCTAACTTCTGCCAATTCACGACATAGCGCGACCATTTCGCAATGTCTTCTTCGATGAGTTACTGCCTCATCTTCAATCTTCACGGCTTCCCACTAAAACCCCAGGTTAACTGCCTGAATAGGGCCTGTCGCTAGTGAGCATCAGATAAATTTTCATGATGAAATCCTCCATCCAATCAAACTAAATCGCGCTATGTCGTGAATTGGCAGAATTTAGCATTCAAGAACCATTGGATCGGGTCCCAGTGGCTCAATGGTCTACGAGCTCACCAGCCTTGTAACCAGAAGGTCCTGGGTTCGAACCCTCGTGGGTGGTGGGTGCGTACTGCTGAAGAGTCCCAAATAAACTAAGTATTTGTCATTGTGCATCTCACAGTTAGTGGGAAGTTATGTTTCATCTAAGTTTTATGTTCGTTGGTATAATACTTGTAAGCTTCATTGGAACACTACACAAGTCACTCATTAACGAGGATCAACCTTGACTAATTGACCAGCTAGCTGGTTGGAAACGTCACGAAAAAGTTTCCAACAGGTTACTGCAAACTTTTATAAACACATGTCTCCGCTCTCTACACTAAAGATTAAATGGCCGGCCAGAGAGAGTTAGCAACAAGAAACTCTGGGAACAAACCCACCAAGAACCTATTGGTCAACAAATATTTCGAAAAAAAATGGAGATAGAGGAAACCGTTCAATAACACTGTGCGCTAGGCTATTAGCTCGAGTGGAACCCGAATGGGAAACGAGTTAGAAGTGTGTTCGACGGTGACATGGGGGAGATCATGTGAGGAGGAGATGAGAGCTTATGGACATTCATGGGGCCAGCTGCAGAGGACTGCAAAGAACAAGACAAAATGGGAACGAGGACCACGGAAGGTCCAGTGTCTCCGACTCTGATTCATCAAAGACTAGCATCAATTTATAGTATGAGAATGACGCAAACTTTATAGGTGAAGTCAGTGACAAAATACAGTCCGTTGAGCACCTTGAGAACAGACTTTTCTATATTTGTCCTGCAGGGATTCCTAGTTTTTACGGATACTTAATGAGACTCTTAAGTGTGGTATTGAAATGTGAGACATGACTGTGAAAAGTGGGATTAGTTGTTTCTGACCACACACGTCTGATGCCTATATTTCCCATGTAAGCTAGTATAATTTGCAATAATTTGCAATTCTCTATTATTTCATAAGCTAGTATAATACCATCGGTGATAAGGTTAATCGTAGAGTGTTCGGCAAGGAGGGGAAGGCAATCAATGAAGCTGCTTCGATTGAGATAGTCAGAACGTGTATTACGCCTGCCTCTTTCCTCAACGATATATGATGAGGTTTGAACACAGTTAGCAGTGGTGAGAATAAAACATAGTACCAATATATGTAAGGTTACTGACCGTTGATATCAGCCACATAGGGCATAGACTATCTGGCCATTCTTCAGAAGATATGGATAGAGATTAAGAAACACATCAAGCAAGCAGATTAACACGACTACTGTTCTTCAATTAAATACGGATGAAGTAACATGATATTATATTGAACCAGGCGTCTAATTCCATGGCTTTAATGTGTTTTTCAAGTCCGATCATGAATTGATATCAGTTAGAGAACTATTAGAAAACCACTGAGGAGTGGTGGACAGCCGTTTCGTTCTAGTTTAGGACTCAACCTGGAGTCTTATCGAGAAGTCGTAACCAGAGGGGTCCACCATTTCAGGTAAGAGAACATTCACTCGCCTAAAACAATGTCTGGTGGTTGCGATATATATCTGTCTCCAAATGACAGCAGTTAGAATTCATGGGTTGGCCATTTGATCGGGTCCTAGTGACGGGATGGTCTACGAACTAGCCTTCCTTGTAACCGGAAGGTCCTGGGTCCGAACCCTGGCGGTGGGTGAGTACTGATGCAAAGGTCCAAAACCAAGATGGAACAGCCGTCCAGTACTCCTTACTAGTTTCAGACCGTTCAGCCAGTGGGACTCAATCCAATGGCCATCCCAAGAACTCCAGCTTCTGCCAATTCACTATATGGCGCGACCAGCAGCGAGTGTCATCTGCAAGTATTTGCATTCAAACCCGACCTCCTGTACTCTACTGGTCACAATTTTATTGGCCATGATCGGCTCCCAGTGGCCTAGTGGTCTACGAGATGGTTTGACTTGCAACCTGAAGGTCCTGGCTTCGGATTGCAGTGGGCGTATACTGATGAAGAGTCCCATATTAGGACGAAACAGCTGTCCCGTAGTCCCAGGTTTTCAAATGGTTCTCCAAACAGTGTCAGTCAATGATGAAATCCTGAAACTTGCTAGCTAATCTGTTTTTATCCCTACAAATATACAAGTTAACGCAAAGTGTAATAACATCCCCAGACCATTTCCATTCTCTTCAAAATATTTATGTTTATTCTAGACTGGAAAGTTAAGTATACAAAGTATAACTTTGATGTAAAAACAACTATGTCTGACAGAATGATTTTGTTATCACAAACTCATTTATTTGATTTAAGTTTCATGCGGAGATTTTATCTAAGACGATGACAAGCAATTTTAGTGAATGTCTCAAGGATTCTTAAACTGTCATCAAACCCATTTAACTTGTATTAATCCCAATGTAAAGCAAGATTCTCCCTCCCTCTTTCTCGCTCATCGATCCAGTGTAGAAAGGAGACAATATTACATACAAAGAAGACGTGTTTACTCGAAAACCGTTTGCGATTCAATGCAGTTCACAATAAACCACACTTATCGCGTGAGGGGGATATTGATACTATCTGGCTACCCATAGAGGTCAGTAGGTTGGGTCGGTATTCGGACCGGGGAGTTGAGCAACCAGACTAACCAGTCACAGATCTATACTGCAAAAAAATAAAGAAACTGTTTGACAATCTGATAGGAAATCTAAGAATATTTAGTATATGTTTCACGTCTACTGAATGTCATGCAACTGAGAACTGCTCGCACATGACAAATTAGTTTGATGTACAATAAATTCACGTTCGTAAGGTAGGGTTTAATACTTGTTGACATTATATATATATGCAGGGACGATGGAACTTTCGAAAACTTATATCATAGGTATAGGAAAGAAGCAGCAGGACAAGGAGTGGCTCTCTACAAACACGTGGAAGCCAATGGAGGAGAGAGAGAGGGGGGTGGTGAAACAGAAGATGAATCAATGCAAAGAACAACATTGGAATGTGTAGCAGAGTTCAGTCTACAACGCACTGAATAAATAAGTGAAGAAAGACAAGAAACAGTGAGACGACACATTGGAAACGGAAGCAGAACAAGCCTCAGGTAAACGACACCTCAAAACACTACATCAGATAACCAGGTCTCTATCCAATAAGAGATCAGCACAGATGAAACCAGTGAAAGATGGTGAAATGAATGTACAAATGGATTTAACCCTAACTCACTTCAAAGACTCAGGGATTGACTTGCTACCAAGGAATAATCTCGTTGACTTAGAATATGCAGATGATATAGTCCTACTAGGCGAGGACGCTGACAAAATCCAGCAGAGTCTTCTGAACACCTTGACCTCAATCTACGAATGTTTGGCATGCGATTCGCTTCCGCCAAATGTAAGATGATGTTACAGGACTGGACTACACTAACTCCTAGTTTAGGAATAGGGAGTGAAGTGGTAGAGCACGTTGACCGCTTCACTTATTTGGGAAGTTGCATCAGCCCCAACGGGTTGATCTCTGACGAAATCTCAGTACGGATACGGGGGGCCATTTAGAGTGGAAGACATGGAAAGCCTGGCTAGCTAGCTATCTTTAATCATAGGTGCCTGCGTTCTATCTCCCGTGAGGTGGTATAATAAGTTGAGAAATATTGAGGTTAGGCATCGGTCGAGTGCTATATAGTAACGGGGGCGGGGAATCAATCGACGAGGTTGTGAAATTACATCGACTGAGATGGTTAAGACATGTGTAACGTATGCCTAGTCATCGCCTTCCTCGACGGGCAATGTTAGCTGACATAGGATGGGTCAGGTTGGAAAAGAGCTAGCTGGTGGTGGTCAAACCAAAACATAGCCTCATCAGTCGATGAAATCCACAACAGTTAGTGTAAGCAAAGCAGGAAGGTGAAGTTTTCCTGACTAGTTGGGGTCCTCAAAACGGTAAAAAGCAATGACCGAAGACAATCGGTGATACGGTTGAAAATCGTTCTCAATGGTTGGCGTAGATGCATCCACTCCTTGTGATTTACAACACACAATGAAACTGTTTTGTTCCTCGTTATTACTATTCCTTTGTAGGACACCTCTGTTTACTGTCTCGATTATGCATCTCTTCTACTTTCTTCTCTTGCTTTGTGTGCTACAAGGAGGGGGGAGTATGGCGACTTGAACTGCTGCACATCGGTGCAAAGTTCTATGTCGAAAACAGACAGACACACAGAAATGAATCTAATCACCAAAGAGAAGAAACAAAGAAAATAACGAGCTGATTCGCTTCAAGGGACTCCTGAATGGACCATCACCTGCAACTCGCCCAGAAATACCATCAACATCAGACACAGAACTGTCATTGGACACCAGTCCTCCAACGAAAGCTGAAACACTAAGTGCAATCAAGCTACTGAAGTCCAGAAATTCAGAAGAACCAGACGGAATTCCCCCTGAAGCACGGATATGCTCGCCTCACTACTGTAGAAATATTAGAAGGAAGGAAAGGTACCTGTTGATTGGAAGACACACTATCTTTTGAAACTGCCAAAGAAGGGCGACTCAGGCCTCTGCAAAAACTGGCGCAGAATCGTGCTCTTGTCTACACCAAGTAAAATCATCCCGGAGAGACTAAAAGATGCACTAGATTTAAAACTCTGCCACCTTACACAAACTATATTCAAGAAAAGGAAATCATGTGCTGATCGAATTGCAACACTATGCATCGTTACCAGATAGAATACAGAAGAGCGGTCACACCTCTATCTCAACTTGACTGACTGTGAAAACGTCTTCAATGGCGTTGACCGCAAAGCAATTTGGAAACTTCTCCTATACTAAGTAGAGCTCCAAACCTTTATCAATCTCATCTAACACACATATATGATGACGCCAAATTCCAAGTGTTTCACAACAGAAAGCTCAATGAAGCCTTTGGTTGAAGGACAGGAGGCATCCTACTACCACCAATGATATTCTTAATTGATTGGTGAACTGAATGATACAGCAGTCCGTGGGATGCGAGATGACAGGAATACGTCAGACCAATAAGAAGACTTTATAAGGTTTTGGGCTTCACGGACCTATTTATCTCCAATTTCACATATATAATTATAGATCTACGGCGGAAAACCGACAAGTTGGTGGAAGAAGCAACCAGAGAATATAAAGACTTCAAGTGAACATAGAAAAGCTAAAGGTCATGAAGATAACTAAAGAAATCAATAACAACAACAACAAGCACCAGTCCTCATCAACGAGAGGAATTCGAAGGAGGTTACTTCCTTCACTGATCTAGCCTCACTACTACTAAGCAACCAAATACATCCTCAGTCACTTGCTAGTGACTACTACTGAATGCCCTATTGCTTGCAGGCGCAATGGGATTCGAACACTCAGTCTGTCGATTGAAAGTTGACTAATGAAGACCAATCAGTTATAGCTCTGATACGCACAAAGATAGGTGAATTATAATTAGCTGGATTTCGCTTATTCCTTACAAACCAGTTAAGACTGTTGGCGACAAAATACACAATCTCTCTCCATACTTACTAGAATATGGTAAAATTTTCAAGGCGATATGATTACCACTTTCACGTATCAGACGAACCACTTCGTCATGATGTAGTCCACAGGTGGGAATCCCATTTACAGCTAATATTTGATCACCGACAGATAGTAGACCCATACGTTCAGCTTGACTGCCAGGAACAAGTTGAGCTGAAATGTAAGAAAAGAGATAGTTTAATAATTTATATATTTTATAATAATAGTAAATAAATCCTCAACGGAAAACTCAGCAAGGCGTTTGGAGTGAACACAGGAGTCAGACAAGGGTGCTTATTATCACCAAAGATATTCCTAATTGTGGTGGACTGGATTATGCGTCAGACAGTGAGAAACGAGAAGACAGGGATATCCTGTCCTGACCGACGTGAAGAACCTAGAAGACCTGGATTTCGCGCGTGGATGATTTCTGTTTGATGTCACACAAAATCGAAGACTTACAAGCGAAGACCGACAAACTGGTCAAAGAAGCAGCCAGTGAAGACAGGACTCAGGTGAACAAAGACAAGACGGAGGTTATGAAGATGACCAACCAACAACAATAACAGCAGCAGCAGCAACATCCAGCGCCAATCACCATCAACGGGAGGGATTTGAAAGAGGTTACTTCATTCACTTATCTAGGGAGAATTGTTTCAACTACAGGAGGAACGGATGAGGATGTCAAATCGAGAAGCGGGAAGGCGAGGAACACATTCATCAACCTGAAACCAATCTGGAAATCTCCGTCACTCAGTATCAACAACAAAATTCGGATTTTCAATGCAAACGTCAAGTCAGTCAGTTCTTCTATACGGATGGATCAGAAACTTGAGAGTCACAAAGAACATTTCCTAAAGGTTTCAGACCTTTATGAACAGCTGTCTTCGTTCTATACTGAAGATCAGATGGCCGGAAAGAATCACCAACAAGAAACTATGGGAACAAACGAAACAGGAACCAATCGCTCAACAAATATGCAGGAGAAAGTGGAGATGGATTGGACACTCGCTGAGGAGGAGGCCGATGGGTGACATCGCGCGTCAGGTCAGTGCTCGAGTGGAACCCGAAAGGGAAGCGGCGAGTGGGACGTCAGTGCAAAGGTGACATGGAGGAAGTCGTGTGAAGAGGAATTGAAACAGTATGGACTAACATGGATGCAGGTGAAAAGTACAGCAGAAGACAGAAGCAAGTGGAGACGTGTAGTTGAAGCCCTATGTTCCACTAGGAACCCAAGGGAACAATAATAATAATAAATAGTATAAAGTAATCCTGGAGTTTCTTAGGTGATGAATTGAGGTTCACAAAGTATTACTGAGACACATTCACATAAATCATGCATCAGTCGATAACTTCGCTTAGCTTACCGGTTGGTTAGTTAGTTACCTAACCGTTTCTAATCTCGAGAAAAGAAGGAGGGTTGGGTTTGGCGTGGAGCTAACCACCACGTCTGTCTATCTGCCTGGTTTCAACATAGAACTTTGCACCGATATGCAGCAGTTCAAGTCGCCACACTACCTCCTTGTAGCACACAAAGCAAGAGAAGAAAGTAAAAACAAACGCAAAATAGAGACAGTTAACAGAGATATGAGGCAAAAAGAATGGTAATATCTAAGAGCTATATAGTTTTATTGGGTATTATAAGTCACAAGGAGTGGATGCATCTGAGCCAGCTATCACCGGGAACGATCTTGAGCAATATCACCAATTGTCTCCAGCCGTCATTGATTTCGACCATCCCGAGGACCCCAACCAGGAAGTCTACATTTTCCCACGTGCCTGGCTGGGTTAAACTAACTTTTGTGGATTTCATCGACTGATGAGGCTCTGTTTTGGTTTGACCACCACACTAGCTCTTTTCCAACCTGATCGATCCTACGTCAGAGGCTAATACTGCCCGTCGATGGAGGCGATGGCTAGGCATACGTAACACATGTTCTAACCATCTCAGTCGATGTAACTTCACAACCTCATCGATTGATTTCCCCTCCTTATTACTTAGCACTCGACCGATGCCTAACCTCAATATTAATCATCCTATTATACCACCATTTAACAGGGGAAATGGAACGCAGGTATTACATAGAACGCTAGCGACCATACCCGAGAAAATCAATCTAACAGCTACAGAAACTTCAAAGCCGAAAACCAACACACTACCAGAGGAAGCAGCAAACACAAGCCATTAAGCGAATGTAAACAAGACAGGGTGGATGAAAATAAGCAACCAACTAACCAACCAACAACACAGTGAGTACCAATCACTTTCAATGGAAGAAATTCGAAAGAGTTCACTTCCTTCACTTGTCTGGCTAGCCAGCAAGCAACATTTCAACTACAGGCGACAGCACGGATGAGGATGTCATGACGACAATCAGATAGGCAAGACACACTTTCATCACTCTGAAATCAGATCGGAAATCTGAAATCAGCAGCATAAATAGTAAAATTCGGATTTTGAATACTAATGTTAAGTCATGTTAATATGTGTGTAAGACTTGGGCACTGTAGTAGTAAGTAATTCCATAATAATTTGATTATTAGATATATCACACAGTCAGTGAAACAGTATAATTTACTAGATGACAAAGTTTCGAACAAAATTTATTGTTGATTCGATAAACTAAGCTTCTGTCATCAATCTCTCCTTCCACTCTGCTTTTACATTCGATTTTAAAACTGTCGTCTTATCCTATCCATCCTATTGTATGGTCGTGTGTAATTGCATGTAGTGAGTGCTATAGCTGAACTATTCTCTAGATTTCTTATCTTATTCGGGTCAACCAACTTAGATTTTGCTAGGGTTTTATTTTCAGCTAGTCTGACTGCCTTTGTTCTACTAGTTTGACCTATGTAATTGACCTGAGAATCATTGGAGGCAGGATATGAGATAAACTAAATTGTTTTGTTTTAAAGGCTCCACAGGATTGATCCTGTAACCGAGAAAGCTTGTTTTTAATTGAGTTTGTGGGTGGTTTGAATGCAAGTCACTTTTATTTCTGCATCGTTAGGAATTCAATATAAGGTGATTTCCTAAGTTTCTTCCTTGTATGGAATTACTACTGATGATTTAGATTCCTTTTTGTTGATGTTGTCTTGCTCATGTTTGACATGCATATCGTCATTAATATTATCATTACTGTTATTATTATCATCATCACTATCACTACTATCGTTATCAATGAGATGCTCACTAGCGACTTGCCCTATTCAGGTAGATAGTTACTTGGAGTTCTAGTGAGAAGTCGTGACCAGTAGGGTGCAGCAGGTCGGGTGTGAGGAAAAATACTCGCCGAAGACATTAGCTAGGGGTCACGCTATGTCGTGAATTGGCAGAAGTTAGAATTCATGGGCCATTGGATCGGGTCTCAGTGACTCAATGGTCTACGAGCTGGCCTTGTAACCAGAAGGTCCTGGGTTCGAATCCCGGTGGGTGCGTACTGCCAATGATTCCCAAACTAGGATGAAACAGCAGCTGTCCAGTACTCCCTGGTTTTCCAGTGGTTCTCTAACTAATGTCAGCTCATGATGAAAAATCCTGTAACCAATCAAATCCCTACAAACCAACACTTGACTATCGTTATTTGTTTTATTTTTATCTTTACATTTCCTAACATACTTTTGGACTAATTTATCAGGCTAACTATTAAGTTTCAAGGCTTCTCTTATATGACTCATTTCCTGTCTTAGATTTCCCTTGGTACTACTTAAGTTTTTATGCTCTATTATTTAAACATTCGTTTATCGAATCAAGTGAAGACGTGTGTAATAGGAATGATTCAACACCCGTCCAATTGGAGATCTCGAAAATGCTACTACCCCAACGACGACAAAGAGGAGAGAACAAAGAAAACTATAAAACTCAAGTTTCGAAATCATGTGATTACAATTGATGAAATGATTATGAACAATAAATAAGTTGTATTCGAAACTTCGTCATCCAGCAAACACTAATACTGTTTCACTGACTGTGTGATATATCTAATAAAAAAAACTAATATGCAATGTTATGTCAGTTAGTTCTTTTATATTGGGTCAGAAACTTGACTAGCGCATCACGAACAGCATTTCCAACAGACAACTGCAGACTGTTTTCTTTTGCTGGTTGGCTCCATGCTGAAGATCACATGGCCAACTATAGGAAGAATTAGTAACAAGAAACTATTGCTCAACAAGTATTCCGTGAAAATGGAGATAGTTCGAACAAACACTGAAGAGACCATCATCAAATGAAATGACATGCTAGGCCATTGGTCGGGTGGAACCCGAATGGGAAACGACGAGTAAGGTATGGGTCCGAGGGTGAAATGGAGGAGATTATTTGAGTTGGAGGAGATGAGAGCCTATAGGCAACCTTGGAGCCAGGCTGTAGAGAACAGGACAAAGCGGAGGTGTGCTGTTGAAGCCCTATATTCCACTCAGAACCTAAGGGAACAACAGTAATAATAATAACTGAGGTCAAGTTATGATCAAAGCTGAAATTAAAATTCATATAAATTACATTTGATAACTAATAAGTACATCCTGCAATAAATTTTGCTACTGAGAAAGAAAAAGACTCTAGTATTTCATTTCTAGACGTCCTTATGACCAGAAAAGAGGATGGCACAATAAGAAGAAATGTTTGTAGAAAACCTACATCAACGGGTCAGTACACACATTTTCTCAGCTTTGTGCCCTTGAAATACAAACGCAATCTAATAAAGTGCTTGGTCCACAGAGCAAGAGAGATTTGTTCGGATGAATGTCTCGACGAGGAGCTTAACAATATTAAACGGTTGCTAAGTGAGAATGGTTATCCCGAAAAGTTTATTGATAAGAATATGAATCTAAAACCAAAACAGTCCAGGGTACCAACAGTTCCAAAGAAAGCCTTGTTCTTACAGATGCAGTTCCTAGGAGACAACACAAGTGAGATACTAACACATCGCCTCAGAAATGCGGTAAAAAGAGCATTCCCTGCTGCTCAATTACGCTGTATCTTTAAAACCACTCCTCTTCTGCGTTCGGGAATAAAAGACAAACTGCCTAATTTCACCTCTTCCATGTGTATATACCAATTCAACTGCTCCTGTGGAGCCAGTTACATAGGCCGTACAATTAGGCGTGTTTCTCGTTGAATTTCCGAACATCACCCTGCCTGGTTAAGCAGAGGTCCAACAAAATCTATTCGCAGCGCTATTCTGGCGCATCTTGTGGAGACAGAACACAAGATTGACGTTAATCATGCTTTCAGGGGCATTTACCGCATACCTACGAATCTCAATTTCGCTTTAAGAGTTCGACTTCTAAATATTGCTGAGGCTGTGGGGATTCATATTAATAAGCCTTATTTATGCACCCAAAAGAAGTTAGTTCAGTCATTATCATTACCTTGGCCATCCAGGTTTGAATAATCCAGAATTTTTGTGAAATTTCCCTAATTTTAGTTGATATTCTATTCGCTGTTATATCTTTATTATTATTATTATAATTTAAGCATCCTTAATGAACTGTGGTAATTCCGTTGATCATACTTTACAAATCGATATTATTTGAAAAGAACGCTAATATTGTTATTAACTACAAATTTAAAATATTCTGTGTATATAAACATATATATGTATAATTGTAGAGCCTGGAAGAGGAATTTATCGAAAAGAATATTCTTTGCTCGATTATTTTGTGTTTTATAACTAATAAGTGTTTGTATAAACATACCAATGAATTCTGCATTCTGAAGACTATTACTGTTATTGTTACTGCCTGGATATGAATGTTCCGGTTGAGAATTACCCAATGATGGTGGTCTTGTATTTGTTAGAAAGAAACCAAAACCATCGCCTTTTTCACTTCTTGAAATAACAACATCCACAGGTTCTGAGGAACGATGATGAGGCACACTATGATTATCTAATTCAACCTAAGAAAAGAATAGATAAAAAACAAAACGTTACCTTTAACGATAATCATAATAATATGCAAACATTATAAATACAGAAATTAAATGTTACTGTTAGACAGAACTCGACCGTGCCTAGTTTTCTAGCCGGTCCTAGGCCCGGCAGAAGAGGGAGGGTTGGGCGTGGGGTTAGCGACCCAACCCCGGAAAACCGACCAAACAGCTACAGAAACTTCAAGGCACAAGAAAAATATTAAAATACAAAAAATATTATTATTATTGTTTCCTTTAATTCCTAGAGAAACATTGGGCTTCAGCTGTGCGTCTCCTTTGCGTTCGGTTCTCTGCTAGAGTCTTCACCTGACTCCAAGTCTGCCCACACGTTTTCATCTCCTCTTCACATGACCTCCTCCAAGTCACCCTCTCACTGACGACCAACTCACCGCTTCCCTTTCGGGTTTCACTTGAGCAATGGCTTGTCTAGTGATGCCACTTGATGGTTTCCTCAGAGTATGGCCAGCCAACCCATCTCCATTTCCTCCTGCCTATTTGTTGCACAATCGGTTCTTGCTGAGTTGGTTCGCTCATTGCCAGATATCCCTGTTGCTGATCTTTTCTGGCCGGCCATCTGATCTTGAGTATTGAGCGAAGACAACTGTTGATGAAGGTCTGTAGTTTGTTTGAGATGCTCTTTATGACGCTCAGTGCAAGTCTCTGATCCGTATAGTAGCACTGACTGACTTCACATTGGAGTTGAAAATCCGGATCTTATCTTCGTTTTGATGCTGAGTGCTGTTGACCTCCACACAGACTTGAGAGTAGTGAAAGCTTGTCTTGCTTTTCCGATTCCTGCTTTGATATCCTCGTCAGTTCCGTCTGCCTGTAGTTGAAACGATGCTTCCCAGGTAGGTAAAAAAACAAACTTATTCTTCGCTGGAATCGGAGGGACGAAATGACACAGCGGACTGACTGGTGAAAGCCTTCTGGAAGCCAGTCAGCCAGCCTATGTGTCTTCTTTCGACGAAAGCAATAAAATAAGAATGGGGATGTGGAATGTTGCATAGAACTCAGTGCCTTTAATTCAAAAAACACACCTGATACGTAGGAGGCTATAAGCCACATTTACTGTGTGGACAGGGACTGATAAAACTATTTGTAGAAAGGAAAGACTATTCGGCAAATACCTCCTCAACGATCACATCACAATATTTATACTTATTCGAATGTTACAGCGAACTTTATAATTATTATACTTCTTTCTCCTAGACTGTGTATATCATTGTTCTGATATTTGCATATCGTATGTTGACTTCATCCCTATTAGTGTTTGTCTTTGTCCCTACCTGTTTAACCTGTAATTTTAATGCTTATCTTTGTTTTTACGAGTTGATCACGGATTGATATCAGTTAGAGAACCATTGAAAACCAGCAAGGAGTACTGGATAGCTGCTGTTTCATCCTAATTTGGGAATCATCGGAAGTACGCACCCACTGGGATTCCAACCCAGGACCTTCCGGTTACAAGGCAAGCTAGTATACCATTCATCCATTGGGACCCAATTCAATGGCCAGTCCATGAATTCTAACTTCTACCAATTCGTGATTTAGCGCGACCCCAACCATTGTCGTTGGTGGGACATCCATCCACACACGTGACACCTAATTGGACCTCACTGGTCACGACTTCTCACCAGAACTCCAGGGAACTGCATCCTGTAGCAAGTCGCTAGCAAGCATCAGATTAATTTTCTATAGTTTGGTTTGTAAGGGTCAGTTATGTTTTTACGAGTTGATCACGGATTGATATCAGTTAGAGAACCATTGAAAACCAGCTGTCCAGTACTCCCAGTGGGTGCGTACTGCCGATGATTCCCAAATTAGGATGAAACAGCAGCTGTCCAGTACTCCCTGGTTGTCAATGGTTCTCTAACTGATATCAATCCGCGATCCACTCGTAAAAACATAACTAACCCTTACAAACCAAACTATAGAAAAGCTTAACTTTGTGTTATCCATGTCCAAACCAAGTTCACTTTTAACAGTTTGAAAACATTTGGGCATCGGGTATAGGATAATCATCATAATAAAGGTTTTTGTATTTCCCAATGAATGAAAAAGAAGAAAACGATATTGTCGGTTTTACTGACGTTTCGCAATTGAATGCTGCTGCTAATAGCTTTATCAAAGTAGCATTAAACCGGAATTTACAAAATCTCAGCATATATATAACAAAGAGTTAAGAGTTGATCACGGACTGATATCAGTCCGTGATCAACTCGTAAAACATAACTAATCCTTACAAACCAAAGTATAGAAAAGAGTTAAGAGGTGAGAAAATAGACTTGGGTCAAGTTAAAAGGATATTTTGAAAATCAAAATAACAATGAAGATCACTAAACCAAATAACATAGGTAATAGTACATTATTTTGCAACTATCCGGTCAAATCTTGATCACCGTTCATTTGAATAATAGTACATCTGTTATGATATCAAAACAAAGTTTACTAACTTGATCATCGTTCGTTAGTCTGGGGTCATTTTTCGTTGTCAAGTTGGTCAATTGGTAAAGATAACAAAACCAAGTGTAGATTGTTGGACTTGATCAGTGTGCAACATTATAAAAGCAGTGTATGTCTACATAGTGAACTTGCTTATCACGTTCGTGTTGATTTTGTCACTTCATGTGGATGTGTAGTAACCAGGTTGAATTCTGTTTTAGTCCGTCATTCCCATTCACTAGACAATTCGGATTCCACTTGATATGAAGTGCTTCTGATATTAGAAGTTCTTTGTGATTTCTGAAATGCTTTTTCTGGATGATGATTTCGATATTGTCAAAATCAATCTTGTGGCCTGATTCTACAACGTGTAGACCACCACCTATGGCTGATGATTTTTCAAGTTTTTCTAGTTCAACGGGATTTCTCGGTGGTCGAACAGATGCTCTACGGTATTCATTTCTTCTGACTTGACAACGAAAAATGACCCCATACTGACGAACGATGATCAAGTTAGTAAACTTTGTTTTGATATCATAACAGTTGTACTATTGCCTTTATTATTTGGTTTAGTGATCTTCATTGTTATTTTGACTTTCAATATGTCCTTTTAACTTTACCTAAGTATTAACTGAGTAATTGTCATGAACTTTATTTTATTATTGTTAACCATGTTAGTTGTAAAGCGGTTGTAAAGAAACTACGAAATGATATCATCTCGCGAAATTTGTCTTCTTAATGCCTTATTCAAATTTATCAAAGGGACTAATTGTTTCACTTTACCTAAGTAGTTTATTTTCTCATCTCTTAACTCTTTGTTATGTATGCATGCTGAGATTTTGTAAATTCCGGTTTAACAATACTTTGATAAAGCTGTTGGCATTAAATAGCGAAACGTCAGTGAAAACGGCAATATCGTTTTGTTATTCATTCTCTTTGTGTTGTTCTACGATGTGATTTTGATTGAGTAAATGAAGGCCACTCTAAACTTCGACTGTGTTAGGGTGATTTTTGGTGTGTGATTGATTCTTTGGGGACACAGAGTTTTTGATCCCACTCTATACTGTTGAATACATATTCTGCCTGATTCTAAGTACTCTTTTGTATCCAGTCTGGACTACATAACTGCCTAAAGGCACTGATGAAGTGGTTTTGAGTTTTCCGTTTACGTTCCTACCGTTTTATAGAACTGCCAAATTACTGCTGAATGATTGCCTTTTTGCTGGAGCATTTCATGACCGTGTGTGTGTGTGTGTCTCAAGTAGGTTTTGTCAGCAGCTGTATACAGTGGAACGCTGAGGTAAGTTTTTCTGAGCTCAGAAACCACAACGGGTCGATCGTAGTCATGATATTACTCATTTGCCAATCGAATAAGTTGTGGGGTTAAATCGATTAAGATGGCTAGGACACACGTGTTGTTACGCATGTCTGGACACTGCTTTTCCTGAAGAGCAATGTTATTTGACATAGGATAAGGTGTGAAAAGAGTTATGGGTAGTCACATCAAAACACTGCGTCGGTGGCATAGCGGTTAGGATGCTCGCCGACCATGCACATGGTCCGGGGTTCGATCCCCGGCCGACGAGGCACTCCTTTACCTCACTAAACCAGAAATAATGCTGGTGAAGAGGAAAGGTTGGACGTGAGGCTAGCAACCCCATCCTGTTAAAAGAATCACCACTGCTACAGAAACTTCAAGCCACTAGCTTGAAGCCCTATGTTCCACTGGGGAAAGTAAAGGAAAAAAGAAAAAGAAGACATCATAACATGACATCAATTCATGAAGTCATTGAAAATCGGTTTGAGCCAACCATGCAGGAAAGTGTAGAGACTGCCTGGCTACGATCCTCTGGATGTTAAGATTCAATGGCTGCAATCTATTGGTGATATGGTTCGAAAAACAGTTGTTCAGTGGAGCAGATCCGGTTCACTTTTTGTAACCACTTAGAATACAACATTAAACTCTCCTATCTGTATCACCTTACTAATCATTCTTTCTCCTGTATACTGCTGCACATTACAGATCTTCCTTCCTCTGTCTTTTTGTGTTTGTTACATGGAGTATGACAACTTAAACTGTTGCCCTTCTGTGCAAAGTTTTATATACTGAGACTGTGTCAATGAATAAGAATCATTTACCCAGGCTGAAGCAGTTTGGAGTGAGATTCACACTTGGGACGCGTTGGTAAAAGTCAAGTACTTACACCAATGAGATACGTCTTTGAATTTATATTGATTAGTATTACTGTATAGCTTCCTAAATAATGTAACATTTCGTGCTTACTGGCATTTATAGGAATGCCCATGTTCGCTTAGACTATGACAGTCGGTGGCCTGGATATGTGTTACACACGCCCACGCATCGACCTTGATGGGATGTGTTAGAGAATGTCACAGTAGGTTGGGAGAAAATGAAATGTGATGAGATCAACATATTAGATTAATTCACGAGAGAACCATTGAAAGCCATCACGGAGTACTGGACAGCTGTTTCATCCCACTAGTTTGGGACTGATAGCCAG